TGGGGAAAAAAAACAGAAACAAAAAACAAACAAACAAGAAGTGTGTAAAAGAAAGAGGCACAAAACATACAACATAAAGAATGTATAAAAAAAAAGAGTGATCAAAGAGAGAAGCAACAGGTACTAAGTGCAATTAAAGTGATAAACACTTCAAGAATCAGATTTAAGATATTTAAATTGCTTTTCTCTTCCTAATTTTTTTAATCATAAGAGTTAAACATTCAGGATTCTTTGCATGCAGTGCACCCCCCTCCCCATCTTCAACACTTAAAACATTTCAGAAATAACTGTTTTAAAATAGATCGATCCTAACTATGTAAAAGAAAACAAGTATTCATTTACCAGTTACTAGCACACAGAACAAATCAGAACACTTGTGGGGTAATGTTATGCAATCTTGGTCTAAATAGGTAAATTTTCAGAATCTCTCATTTCATAACTTTCTGAGTGAAAAGCCATTTTAATGATATTTTGATCATAACAAGCCTGTGTTTAATAGTATCTAATCCCRGAATACATTTTACCATTAATTCAATTTTTTTCATACATTCCTAAATGGGTGAGGATCCAAGTTTGAAACTACAGAGAAAGCAATTTAATGCATCATAAATGTTTTAGTATTAACAGACTATTCTATCAGATACATTTTTGCAAACTCCTATAAAACCAGAAATAAGTAATTTTTCACTCTTTACATGCTCTTTACAGATTTCCTCCACTTACAAGAGTGCTGTATAGCAAGTGCTTTAAGTGCTTCTCTTTATTATCAACTATTTCACAGAACTGAAGCACAAACATTGATCTGAAGCACTGCTGAACTCCTTTCATATCTAACTCTGGTAGGGTAGAGAAGCTAATCCACACTAMAATTTTTGCACCAAAAACTAGCTGGTTTTGCTATGAACTGCTAGCCTAGACCTACCCCTCAAGTACCCTCAAGTACCTTGGAGTACTTGCAGACATGAGGAAACTTGCAATGAAAAAAACCCAACATTTAACATGAAATGTTAAATACTGAAGAATTTTGCATTTAGGTATCCCCTTTTATCCAAGCAAAAGCTTTACCAACATGCTGAAATGCTTATTCACTCAGAGAGGCAAGTAAATTTTAAATTTTGCTTTATAAAGTGAAAGAAATCTAAATACAAAATCCAACCACTTGACAAAGCAGTTAGAGCTCAAGACTCTCAGATCTCACATTTTCAACCTAATATTGGTATTAGAAAACGTATCATGCCAATTAATGGTTGAAAAGTTCTAGCAGGATGATTGCTTCCTAAAACAAATCTGGTGTGGAATATTTCCAGAGATTAAAACTCTTTAAAAAATACATTTATACATTTCAGTGGTATCTAAAATTGTAGTTTTCCACATATGCTACTGATTCATTTACCATTTAAGTTGTAAGAACTAAATCTTGTACTTTAAAGAAAAARCTATCTTGAATATCTTTAATTACACCATTAGCATGCTGCAGAACTTCTAAGCAAATGTTTATTTTGCCAGCAAATGGACTGAGAAAAGGAAAATGGAGAGAGGGAGAGGAAAGTAAAAGAAAAAAAATAAAGAGGAGGGGGGAAAAAAAAGAAAAAAAAAAAGACAACTAAGCCTTTTCCTTAGAAATTAACTTCCTTCCGCCACCAATGTGTGTCTGGAGTTCTATGTTGCATTAAAATCTGAAGTTTCTTAGCAAGTTAAAACCACAGTACCTYAGAAGTAGCATAAAATTAAATTACATTCATTTCACTGAATGAAATATGCAAGGTGACACAATACTTTTTTTCTTAGAGACAAGCATTAAAATATTCAGCCATTATACTTCCCCCTTACAGAAAAGCTTGATTCAAACACACTTACAAGAACAGGCTCTTGAGATATGTCTTTCTAAACAGACCTTGCTGATAATTTGCATTTTTCTCTAATGTTTGCAACTATCTTTCTCTTGCAAGACATAYCACATTGGCCCAAGGATCTCTAGCACTGAACCATTCTTGCATTGGCTGAACACATATAGTTTTTTTTAAATATTACAAGAAGTAATTTGGATCTAGAAGATCAAATAATCAAAAAGAAAAAAAAAAAAGGTCTATTTTCTGGAAAACCATACCAATTTAAATCACACACATGTAAAGTTACTGCTATTTCAAGAGGATTAGTACCAGAGCCTGTGTTGAGGACTGAGGAAGTGACTTAGCTGTTCACCCACCTGATCCATTCTCCTTTACAAACACATGCCCCAATCCTATGCAAGTCTACATAAATTTGCATTCAAAAGTCCATTCAAATATGCTTCTGAAAACATCTGCTTTTTTTCTTCCATTTGGTCTTCCGAACACCACAACTTCCAACACCACTGTATTTAAAATGCCACTCCTACTGTCACTTTCCTCCTCCTTCATACCATTCATACCATACCGGACAAAACCTGAAGTTTTTGTCTGAATTTCTCACCTTCRTAATCAACAACTTGTTATTTCACCTCCTCCTACATATTTTCTCTCCCCTACACTTCCTCTAGTTCCCTCCGTACTTACTTCTGTCTTTTCAATCCTAACAGCTGTCTTGTTATTTCTACAGCTTTTGTCTGTAAGCCAAGCGTTAATCTGCACGTGAAGACAAGCTCTTACCTCCATTATTTAACAGAATATTTTTTCCTTTAATTGAAAGCTTTTTCTAATTCTGTTCCATAAGAACCTTTCCTATAGCTTCAGTAACAAGCTTATCTATTTTTCTCAATTTGCTCTCAGATACACATTACTTAAGCATAACTTCTATTAAAGTTAAAAAAAAAACCTCACTTACTTGGCAGATACTAAAATCTTTTTGCATGGAGACAACACTGCAGCTGTAAAGAGGTAGTCTATACATTATATATATATATATTTATATATGTATGTAAAGCTGGTTTTAAATTCCTGCTGGAAGGCCCTTTTCAGTTTGCTTAAACAACTAATTTCAGAAGTTGAAGCTACACTACCAAGTCCCTGCTCCTGAAACCAAAAAAGCAATAGTTCTGTCTTGACTTTCAAATGCAACTATACAAATTCAGTCAATTCTGTTCTGCACAAAGGGCCTTGTTTTCACATTTCTAAACTAGAGGCTGTGAATAAATAAAATCACATAACTGGGCAGCACCATAGGTTAGATAAGTATACACACACAGCAAAAGAAAATATTTGTGTTCAAGTGTTGTGTTGACACCTGTTTAGGTGTGGTCAAAGAATGTACTGGATATTATGCAGTAAATCATAAAGCGACCACTCTCTGTCAAAAACAAACAGAATCTGCACATCCCATCAGCAACCCTTTCAGAACTGAATATACTTAAGAAAGAGTCTGAAATTTGAAGTGACACTGGAAAAGAGGATGCYTTTTGAAATGCTCTTTGGAAAGAGCTGGATTGAGAAATAATAGCTACAGCTCCCTGCTAGCACAATAAACTTTTACTTAGAAATTCAGACAGATTCAGAGAGAAGAGGTTGGTTAAAATGAGCAGTCATTCCTTAACAGACAGGATAGTAAAAACATAATTCCAGACTTGCTCTTTAGAATACTGTTATTCTGCGGTCCACAAAGATTCAGTGATGCAGCTTGTAGCAACTCTCTTCAATAYGGGACTTGCTCTCCTGCACATGCCTTCTATTTTACAAGACATCCAGACCAAAATGCAATGGTTGATTCCATGGTGTGTGAGRTCTTTTGCTACCATCCTTCTGGACCAAAGGCAGTGGCTGCTAAATGGGTTACACTGCATTAGAATAGAACCCTTAATGCTTTTTGTTTCCAGGTACTGAAAAAAAACCCAGCTAATACTGATAGCTGTAAAAACATTAGGAAACTAAAAATTCGTGATGCTAAACAAATTTCCAGCATTCGCTCACTAGAAAAAATTAAGTGGATGTATGAACTCCTCATTATTCATTTTCTCTAAATAAGAAGAATTGGAATAATTGCAAGGTTTGAAAAAGTGCAAAGAACAGAACAAATAACCAATATCCAGTAATTTCTCATCTTTCCCAAAGATTTGGACTGAAGGAGCCACAGTACACTAAATGTCACACTTTTTCTTGGGAAATTCCTCTCGCTCCTTTACTGCAGCAAGGTAAAGGATTACTGTATCCATTTAGGACCTGAAGATGCTACTATCTTTTCAAATAGCAAAATGGATTTCTTCACCAACAGAATCAGCACATAACAAATGGTAAATTTATACAAAAATGGAGGATTTTAAAATAATCAAATTGAAATGTTTCAGGTGCTTTCAGACCATATCAGTCTTTCCTCCAAGTAAGRTCTAGGAACTCACTTAAAAACAAACAAACAAAAAAAACGCCCACAGCTTCTCATATAAATATCTAACTCGAACTGCTGTGGCATTTTTTCCTGCACAGTGATGCAAAACGGCAGGYCAAAGTATAGGGTGCTCTTTTACTCCTACCCAAACATGTTCCTGACATTAAAAGTGCAATACATTTCTTATTTTTCCCAGTAAGAATGAGTCACTACTTAACACAGATGAGTTTCTTCAAGATATACAAACTTAAAAATCAATAAACAGTGAAATTATTAACTAAAGAACACAGTGCAACATAAGTCCTGTATATTCAGATTATTTTTGATAGCAAAAAATATCAATGATTATGCTGTTCACTGGACTGAAGTTGCTACAGCCAAATCACAGTTGGAGAAGGCATAACATTACTTAAATCCACAAAGAAAACAATATATTTAGAAAAAAAAAACCCTTGTATATTCATTTCAAAAGACAGGATTGACTATTATCTTTGAGATTCCCTTTTCAGACAAAGGGGTACAACCGAGTTTTAAAATACAAAGACATCAAACYATAACCCACAGCTGCACTCACTTGCTAAGTATTAAATGCCTAGACTCATTAAGGACATTGAAGAAAGAAAAGAATTTAGATCAGTTACCCAAAATATATATCTTCTTATTCAAATAGGGTTTTTTAAAAGACACAAGATAGGTTTTTTTCTCACCAGATTGATGGAACATAGGTTGAGCAGAGGCCCCTAAAGAAGGCCTTTGTTCATTATCAGGAGAGGATAATAATGAAGTTGAAGGGGGGGACTCTGTTGAAGATGTTGAAGGAGCTTGGGCTGACATTGTAGACGATGAAGATGATGGAAGTTGTTCAGGACCATCTACTTCCATAGCAGTTTCTGATTCTGTGCTAGGTGCCACGTTATTAGAAGCAGGAGCATCTGGACGATTACTCCCACCTTTGATTAAAAGAAAAAGAGAGAAAGAGAAAAAAAAAAAAAAAAGAGGGGAAAAAAAGAACTCAAAGGTAAATTTACAATTTACTCTGTCTCTAAAGATTCCTTTACATTATCACTTAGAGGGCATCCAAACGTGCTCAGTTCTTCAGAATTCTTTTTTATCTACATCCTAAAAAGGCTGACATTCAAGCACTATATCAAGTATAAACATACTTTCTGTTGCCATTTTTTTTGGCTGTAAGAGAAGGAAATCACCTCTGGACCGTGACCTTCCTCGTCCTCGATTGCTTTGTGCAACTTCACTGGCTTCTTCAAACCATCTTGATAGCATGTCTGACATCCTCTGCATCAGAGACACATTAGGGCTCTGTTCCCCTGTAAAAAYAGTAATGCTGAAGTTTTATTTAGGAGTTCATTAAAGAATTCATTTTTTCACCATTTGTTTTTCCATAAGAAAACAGCCCTATAATCAGAACACCTAATAATCTTCTGATTTTCAGCACAACAGTTTAGCAAAAAATTGCTAACTGTCCACAGCACTATATTAAAGAAAAAAAAAAAACTTCCTCCTAAAGCTTTAAGTTATTTTATATTTAATAACTACCTGGAGGTTTTGTACATGTGACTTTCTGAAATCTATTTCTGAAGTCCATTTTAAATGTTRGTTAAGTAAGCATAGAAAATCTATGTATCTGTTTTTCCAGGTCACTATAAAATGAAAATTTTATCATAAAATTTTGAAAGAATGAAAAGTAGAGGATAAAGCTGGCACATGATATTTTTAAAATTTACAAAAGGTTTCTTCATGACGTATACTTAACATATGAGCACAATTTAATACTACTACATGCAGCTATGTAAAAAGAAAGTGAGTTTGAGGATTTTATTTCATTTTCCTTTTAGGTTTTGGATAAAATGGCAGGACTGGAATAAGAATTGTCCTAAGAAAGAAGACAGGAGGGGAAAAAAAAAAGTTGAAATAGAATATTGGAMTCCTTAATTGTTTCTTGTGGTCTCCAAAATATTCATATGTTAACAAACTAGTATCTTCCAATGGAAAACTATTTCACTGGGGAAGAAAGAAAAAAAAATGTATGAGCTTTTTCTGGCCCCTTAGCCAATTAATGATTTTCTTAAAGTAGCTTTTCCAAAAGTTTTGTAGTCCAAGATCCTAAGAAACTGAAACAGTCACAAGTAGGAATGCCTAAAAAAATACATCAGTGAAAAATATTTTATTAACCTACATAAAAAGCCAGCACTGAGGAATTCTGTACTGTACTTGTATAGAACATATACACTAAGAATATGCCTCTCTCAAAGATCAGTCCTGATATCCACACACATCCCATAATTTAATAAAACAGGTATCAAAATAAAGCCGAAGAAAACAGACTAAACACAGTGAATAGTGGGAGGAAGGAATAATTATCCTTTAACAGAAAAGTATGAATCAGGTCTTAACAACTCCCGCAGTAGATCTAGTCTGCTGAGCATATTACAGAATCACAGACTGGTTGAGGTTGGAAGGCACCCCTAGAGATCATCTAGCCCAGCCCCCTGCTCCAGCAGGGACACCCAGAGCACGGGGCACAGGGCGGCACCCAGGCGGGTTTGGAAGAYCTCCAGAGAAGGAGACTSCACAGCCTCCCTGGGCAGCCTGTGCCAGGGCTCTGTCACCCTCACAGGAAAGAAGTTCCTCCTCACCTGGAGATGGAACTTCCCGAGTTTCAAATTGTACCCATCATCCCTCATCCTATCACTGGTCACGACTGAGAAGAGTTTGGTCCCAAAGTCCCTACATTCTCCCCTCAGGTACTTGTACATGTAGATGAGATCTCCTTTCAATCTCCTCCTGGCTAAACAGGCCCACTTCATTTAGTCTTTCCTCACACGGGAGATGCTCCAGTCCCTTAATCATCTTTGTTGCTCTCTGCTGGACCCTCTCTAGGAGCTCCACGTTCCTCTTACACTGGGGAGCCTAGAGCTGCCCCYAATACTCCAGGTRMGGCCTCACCAGAGCTGAGCAAAGGGGCAGGATCCCTTCCCTTGACCTGCTGACAACATCCTCCTGATGCAGCCAGGATCCCATTGGCCTTCTTGGCCACGAGGGCACACTGCTCACTCATGGTTAACTTGGTGTCAGCCAGGACTCCCAGGTCCCTCTCTGTGGAGGTGCTTTCCAGCAGGTCGACCCCTATTCTGTGCTGGTGCCTGGGGTAATTCCTCCCCAGGTGCAGGACCCTGCACTTGTCCTTGTTGAACCTCATGAGGTTCCTCTCTGCCCAACTCTCCAGCCTGTCCAGGCCCCTCTGAATGACAGCGCAGACCTCTGGAGTGTTGGCCACATCATTCAGTTTTGTTTCATCTGCAACTTGCTTAGAGTGCCCTCTGTCACCTCTCCTTCAAAAGAACTAAGTGATAAGTAGAGGAGAAAGGAGAATAAAAAAAAAAAAAAAAAAGGCATGACAGCAAACACATTACCATCTCTTTCTCGTTCACTCTCAGGCCTTGCTCTGGGCCCAGTATCTGACCAATCCCCTCTTAGCCGCAAACGTTTGACCGGTGGTTGCCGTAACTAGAAAAAAAAAGGACAGAATCAATAGAATGCAAAGGCTCTAGCCATACAAAACAGCTCTGAGTTCAGCAGTCTAAACCCAAGAACTATCRCAGCTTTTCAGTCTAAAGCCATGACTCCAAGAACTATCACAGTTTTTCATTTTATACATTTTAGGCTTTCATATTGGACAGTAAGTTAAGTCTGAATTCTGCCAAAATATTCAGTTCTCCATGTTGATAGTTATTTGTGTATTCTTTTTAAGCCTCTAACTATTTTCATAGCACAACACGGTTTGCAGCAGTACTTGTAAAAGTACTATACAGACAGTGCAACTTTCATTAACATGGTAAGAAACAGGCAGCCAAAATAAATAAATAATAAAAAGCAGAACATTGCAGAACGCCACATTCTACACAGAACGCAGACATTCTATACATATTTTTAAAAATCCTCGAGAATACAACAATGGTTTGAGAGTCATTCAAAGGGAGTACAACTGGTAAGATGAGAAAAAAACGCCAAAACATGAGGACAGGTCACCCTAACCACTTGCCTCTTCCCGTCTCTCTTCAGCAGAAGGAACTTTAAGTTCTCGGGCTGTGTCATCCTTGGGATCAAACAAGTATATGTAATCTGAAGAGTAGCTAACAAGGATCTCTTGACCATCTTCACTATAACACAGAGAKGTCACTCTGCAGGATTTGTTATTGAGATGAGGAGGAACAAATCGTGCCACCATTCCAACAGTGCCTCGACCAGCGTAATTCCCTACATTATATATTAAAAACAAAAAAAAAGAAAGAAAATGAAAATCTGTATCTTGCTCACTGCCAGTAAGTCACGGAATATCTTATCCTTGGGGAATGAAAAAAGAGAACAAAAAAAAAAAAAAAAAAAAAAAAGAAACAAGGCTATATATATAGAATATATATACAGAAAAAAATGCAGTTTTTGAAGTTTTGTCTTTTCTCTGCTCTTCTCCTACTAGTCTGCATATCTGAACTGCTGCAAAATTAAATAGTTCATATAACATTATACAAATCACAAGATTTCTTCCAGTAACAGGCAACACATTACAGTGTAGTAGAGTAGAAAGCAGTAAGAACTTCAATACAATAGAGAGGATCCATTAGAGGCTATAATTCCCGTTTTTTTAGAACATTTCAGTAACTTATTTCAAGAGGAAGGAAGAGGTATTAAGAATGCCAGAATTCCATTTTCTGCATTGAATATATTACACGATGAATGAAGAGATGAGCTTTACTTACCTAAGATTTTTCTATTAGCAAATATGAGTGAAACGATCCCATTACTAAACAAACATAGATCTTGAATAAAAATACTACACGTCAGTCATTCAGCATTTATTTTGAAGAAAAAAAACAACAAAAAATCCCGCAGAAACAAGAATTGCAAGTGGTTAGAAAACTTTCCAGCTAAGAGTATGGTTCCTACCTGTTGCTCTTGTACCAAGCATTCGCCGATCRTATATTCTTACTGAGCTATCAGAACAGCCCACAGCAAGATAATATGGGATTGGTGGACAGATAGCAACAGAAGTGGCAGCGCGGCGGCAGTTTATTAAAATATCCTGGAACAAACAAAAATAATGCATTTAAATAATAGTTCTGAGTGTTTGAGGCATAATCCTGTTTTTATTCCAGGCCATAGCCTTGCTATTCAAAGTGGTGAAGCTTTTGAGAACCAGGTCTGGCCCTGCAAAGATAGATTACAAATATGTGAAATAGAAGAACTACTGCAAAAAAGGAAAACCAGACACACAAAAGGCATGACACCA